GAGGATAACCAGATCTTATCCAGTTGTGTCCTAGAATCTTCGAATCCTATTATCACATCTTTAGAATACCTAGACTCTGGAGTTCTTTGGTCGTCTCCCACCCAGTACTAACCAGGGATGACCCTGCTTAACAGCTGAGATCTGGCAAGGTCAGGCTAGCCTGGGCCACTCAAGTCAAGGCTAGTTGGGTATTACTATTGGCAGAATCCATTTGTGCTAGAGAAAAGCTTCTGGCGCCAAAGAAATATGCAACCATTAGCTGAACGGAGAGGTAGGATAACCCCATTAAAAGTTCTTGTTCTGGATATGTGCTGCAGCAGATCGAGATGGTCAAAACACTGAAAATGTCAACATCGGGTACAAGATTAACTGGGGAAAGTGGGCCAGATGAAGCCCAGAGCAGGTTGCAACATTCCAGACGTGTTGCAGAACCACTTCTGCATTTGCTGGGCAGCTACAAAGAGCACCCTCCCATACTTCCTTCCTTGCAACATGATTGCCTGGGGCCTTAATAAGGATGCTCTATTATCACCATATCATATCTTGCAGGAAGACATTCTCACTCATGGTCTGTCTTGTAAACATCTGGATTGCTCTACCCACATAAACTCTTTGTTGTTGTTCAGTCGCACAGTCGAGTCCGACTCTTCGCGACCCCATGGACAAGATCTCGCCAGGCCCTCCTGTCTTCCGCCGTCCTCTGAAGTTGGCTCAATTTCATGTTCGTTGCATCGATGACACTGTCTAACTATCTCATCCTTTGCCGTCCCCGTCTTCTTTGACCTTCAATCTTTCCCACCATCAGGGTCTTCTCCAGTGAGTGCGCCCTTCTCATTGGGTGGCCAAAGTATTTGAGCTTCAGTTCCATTATCTGGCCTTCCAGGGAACAGTCAGGGTTGATTTCTTTTAGGAATGACTGATTTGTTCTTCTTGCAGTCCAACTCTAGGAGGACCCAATACAGAGAATAACTTTTGGCACACTGAGGTTTTTGGTAGAATCTTTTTAAAGGATGACTGAGGAGAGAAACGGAATCTTTACCAGCAAGTAGTTTTATAAGAATGGGCGATAGAAGATAGTAGGGCAGGCCTCCCTTTCCCCAAAGAGAAGAGTCCGATTACCACAGCCACCACTCTCTTGCCTCAAAGTAGATAACCCAGAGCGAGAGAGGAAACCTACTACTGCATAGAAGAACAAAGTTAGAGTCCAGTGGCACCTTTAAGACCAACAGAGTTTTATTCAAGGTGTGTGAGCTTCTGTGTGCACGCCCACTTTGTCAGACAATGAAACGGAATTACAGATCATACTTGTATATATATCGGGTGGCTTGTTAAAATAGCATGCAAAATAGTGAAGATGTTTTTTAACAGATAAAAAAGAATGACAAGCTTGGTTGCTGGTTATCATCTGTTTGTATTCAATTCGGGGCGGCGGGGGAGGGGGGATAACATAGGTAATAATTGAACCCAAACAGATGATAACCAGAAACCAAGCTTGCCATTATTTTTATCTGTTTAAAAACACGATTTTGCATGCTAATTTAACAAGCCACCCTCTGTATATATACAAGTATGATCTGTAATTCAATTTCATTGTCTGACAAAGTGGGCGTGCACATGAAAGCCCAGCAGGAACTCATTAGCATAATCGGCCACACCCAACAGCTGAAACTTATTAGCATATTAGGCCACACCCTGACACCACGGCTCATTAGCATATTAGGCCGCAGCCCCGTGTTGCCAGAAGTGTGGTCATCCAGCCACACCCACCTTTTGCTTCTTATTCTGTTTACCTTGTTTGTTGTCAAAACCCAGGGCCTTTCCCTGCTGGGCGTGGCCAACTCGGGAGCCAGCTGGAACTCCGTTCCTCTGCGTTCCTGCTCCAAAATAGCCCTGCCTTGAATAAAACTCTGTTGGTCTTAAATGTGCCACTGGACCAGGGGTGGCCAAACTGCAGTTCAGGAGCGGCATACGGCTCTTTTACACAGTCTAATTTAATGTTAATAAAAAGCAAATTTGCATATTTTTCAATAGAAACGTGTGGTTTATATTTGTTCATGTCTTGCGGCTCTCAAACATCTGACGTTTATTCTGTGTGGCTCTCACGTTAAGCAAGTTTGGCTGCCCCTGCACTGGATTCTAACTTTGTTCTATTGCTTCAGATCAACATAGCTGCCCACGGTGATCTACAGCACAGAAGGTGGAAGTTTTTTGGTGTTTTTTTTGGCCCCCCGAGGGGATTTTTTATTGCATTTTTAATAGACTACAAACTACAATGAAAAATTGGGAAGGGGTAACTACATCTAGGGAGAAAGGAAAGAAAACCACTAATAACCCCAAGTACAGGAGATCATAACAACAGCTTATATAAATGTTAATCTTAAATTGCTAGTATTACTTTGAATATAGTCGGTTGTGCTAAATTATTTATCTTTTTATCCAATGATTTAACTGTTTAAGAGAACCCACAGAGCATCCCATAATAAGACTAAAGTTTTAAGGCACAATTCAGAGTCTTTTGTCTTATCTTTTCTAATCCT